GAGAGTCCCTTAGACAGCAAGGGGAGCCAACCAGTCCATCCTAAAGGAAATCAGTCCTAAATATTCATTGGAAGGACTGATGCTGAAGCTGAAACTCCAACACTTTGGCCACCTGATGCAAACAGCTGACTCATTTGAAAAGACCCTGATGCTGGGAAAGATTAGGGGCAGAAGAAGAAGGGGATGACAGAAGATGAGATGGTTGGATGGCATCACCAACTCAATGGACATGACTTTGGGTAAACTCCGGGAACTGGTGATGGACAGGGAGGCCTGGCGTGCTGCATGCAGTTCATGGGGTCTCAAAGAGTCAGACACGACTGAGAGACTGAACTGAACTGATACTCTGCATACTAACACAACATTGCAAAGCAACTACACTCCAATAATTTTTTAAAGTACAGTGTAAATATAACTATCAAATCCACTGAGAACTCCCCCAAAATTATGTGACTCCTTTTATTGAGCTACTTGTTTTATTGTGTTGGTCTGGAAACAAGACCTCACAATCTCCAAGGTATGCCTACATGTTACTAATGTTAATTTCACTTGTTTATTTTTACTTTTCTTTGTAAATTTAAAAATACAAGTGTAGCTCATTTTATTTTTATTGGACTGCACTGGTCTAGATTATTGACAGTCCAGTGAAATATTTACGTTAGACATTTTGTATTGTCTCCTTTGTAAGGTGCTGTTCTGTCTGTTTATCACTTTATGTAGTCTCATTATTTTAAAAAAAATTTTTTTAAACAAAGTTAAAAGCTTTTTTTCTTACCAGAGAAAAGAAACAAGAAAGTGTCCAAGTGCCCAAACAGTTATTGATGTTGCTAAATATTGGTCTGTGTTAAACCTTAAACCTTTTCACAGAAATTCCTCTCTTTCAAGGCACACAGTAGGATTACTCTGCCCCAGCCCCCTGAAGTTAGGCATACCCATTAGAATGTGATCTGGGGGGACATTTAAGAATCAATCCAATGATTGATTTGTATATATCCTTGCATCCCTTGAATAAATCCCACTTGAATATGGTGTATTATCCTTTTAATATGTTGTTGGATTCTGTTTGCTGCTATTTTGTTGAGGATTTTTGCATCTATGTTCATCAGTGATATTGACCTATACTTTTCTTTTATGAGGTATCTTTGTCTGAGCTTGGTATGAGGATAAAGATGGTCTCAAAGAATGAATTTGGGAGTGTTCCTCCCTCTGCAATTTTTTGGAACAGTGTCAGAAGGATGTGTATTAACTCTTAGCTAAATGTTTGATATAACCCTCCTGTGGAGCCATCTGGTATTGGACTTTTGTTTGTTAGGTGTTTTTAATCACATTTCAATTTCAGTACTTGTGATTGATCTGTACATATTTTCTATTTCTTCCTGGTTCAGTCTTTCTTGGGAGATTGTACCTTTCTGAAAATGTGTTCACTTCTTCCAGGTTGTCCATTTTATGGGCATATAGTTACTTGTAGTAGTCTCTAATGATCCTTTGCATTTGTGTGGTATAAGATTTGCCACACTGTCTTTCCCCTGCTGTAGTGACTGGGGAAGCTCAATTTGAGACAGGGCTTCCTGCCACTCCATGGCAACAAGTATAATTCAGAAATAAAATTATATGTTCATGGTGTTAAGTTACTGAAAATTGTGATGTTTGTTACTACAGCAAGACCTGACCCATTTTGACTGATGCATATTCTATCACTGGTAATTTAGACAGGAAGCCACCCTGATCAGGTATATACACAGTGTGTGTTGCTGTATCTTATAACTGTTGGACTCCAGTCTCTTATTGGACTCTGAGTTCCTTGAGGATAGAAATAGTATGCACTTAATTTCTTCACACCACCATCAGATCTGACACATAGTTAGAAGTTAGCACATATTTGAAGACTGAATGGAACAAATGAATTAATCGATGACTCTCATAACAGGTAGCTAAGTCTTTTGGGCAGGGAGATTTCTCAGAGGAAGATAGAATAGAAGGAGTAAAAAGATTGCCAAATTAAGCTTGGAGCTCAAATAAATATAATAAGCATAAGTTTATTGTAGCATATAGCTACAGATATGAGTGTTCATTTTTGGTTTTCATTTTGTTCTTGTTTGCTTGCTTGCTTGCTTGCTTTTTTGTTTTGTTTTGTTTTTTTGCTAGTCCTGTTCTAGTGCCTATATGATTCCAGAATCAGACGTTGGCAGGTCACCTGACAAGAGTACACTAAAGCAGTGAAGGAATGAGTCACTAAAGAGACAAGAAGTAGACTCTAAACTTGATCAGCAATGATAAGATAACTCCCCAGTGGAAGGTGATAGAAAGGTGTGTTTATAGCAGTTGAGGCATTAGTGGAGCTTGATAAAGTAAATATCAGCTCAAAATCTTACCACCANGGTCTTTATCTTTCTGGCTTACTTCGCTCTGTATAATGGGCTCCAGTTTCATCCATCTCATTAGAACTGATTCAAATGAATTCTTTTTAATGGCTGAGTAATATTCCATGGTTTATATGTACCACAGCTTCCTTATCCATTCGTCTGCTGATGGGCATCTAGGTTGCTTCCATGTCCTGGCTATTATAAACAGTGCTTCTATCTTAACATTGTCATTTCGGTGGTCCACCTCACAGTCCAAACCTGACAAGGATCTATCTACATATAGTTGTGCTTCACTTTGAACTTCTTATAAATTTCTCCCAAGTGTCACTCTTCTCCCAAATTCTGTAATAATTCTTTGTTTGGTGATATATCCCAGAGTTCCTACTCAAATCAAGAAACTTAACTACGTGGGGCTACAGGGCTATCCTTGGTTATCTAGTTGTTGAGTCTAGCAAAGTTTCTCAGCCTCAGCACTATTAACATTTCAGGTCAGATAATTCTTTATTGTAGCAGCGAGGGAGACAAACCTGTGCATTGTTCAGCATGCTCAGCAGCACCTCTGACCTCTAGTCACTAGACACCAGTAGCACCCCCAGTTGTGACAGCCAGAAATGTCTTGGTACCCTGTCAAATGTCTCTGGAGAATACATTCACCACCTGCTGAGAGTCACTGGGCTAGGACATTCATTATCAATGGTGGCCATATCACCAGTAAGATCTTCAAATTTTTAAGTTTTGTAACTGGAGTAGTTTTGAGGAAGGGGGAAGAAATCTTATATATCACAATAGTGCGTGGCCCTCCAAAAGATCATAGTACATGTACAAATAAACAATATAACAGCAGTATTAAAATTTCACAACAGAGGAGCCAATAGGAAGAAAAGGGGTCTAAACAGGCCCTTGTAGAAGGGCAATAATGGAAAGAAGTTGAGAAACTACAGGCCTGGATAAGCTGCAGTGGAGCGGAAGTGAGAGTGTTGGAAGGAACTCAAGTTAGAGCATGAGTAATGGCAGACTCCATTCAGGGACATCTGTCTGGGCGTTAGGAATCCTATTCTGTGGTTGTGTGGGAGTGCAGGGAAGGCAAAATGCAGGGGAGAGCAATCTGATAGCTCTGGGGTTTAGGCTATTTGAGTTTAAAGTAATTTAACATTCCAATTTACCACCTAACTAGCTACGTTCCAAGCGAACAACCACCTCCAGAGCAGAGGGGGGCCACTTCTACTGGTTACCTTGGGCTGCTGTAACAAACTACCAAAATGAATGGCTCAAAACAACAGAAATGTATTTTCTCATCATTCTGAAATCAGGTGTTGGCAGAGCCACCCTTTCTCCAAATGCTCATGGGGAGTGTCTGTTCCTTGCCTCTTCCTGCTTCTAGTGGCTGTCAGAATTCCTTGTGGCCACATCAGTTCAACCTCTGCTTCCATAGTCTCATAGTCCTGTTCTCCTCTCTGAGTCTTCTCCTCTGTGAGTCTCTCAGAACTCCTCCTGCTTCTCTCTTCTAAGAATACATATTAAGGGCCACCAAGATAATCTAGGGGAAAGGTCTCAAGATCCCCAACTTAATCAAATCTTTTGCCATCTAAGGCAATATTCACAGGTTAAAGATTAAGCTATGGATATAACTTTAGGGACCCATCCAACCCATCACAGTACTATGCTAACACAGATATAGATCATTTGTGACCGAGAGTTCTTTTGCACAGGGCTATAGCAAGGAAAATTATAAATCAAGAGTCAAAACATTTGATGAGGGCTTCCCTGGTGACTCGGTGGCAAAGAATCCACCTGCCAATACAGGAGACACAGGTTCAATCCCTGATCTAAGAAAATCCCACATGCTACGAAGCAACTAAGCCCATGAACCACAACTACTGAGTCAGCACTGGACTCTGTGTTCTGCAAAAAGAGAAGTCTGCTCGTCACAAGTAGAGAAAAGCGCCCCCAGAAACAGAGACCCAGAACAGTCAAAAACAAATAATTAAATAAAATTATTTCCAAAAATTTTGAAGAGTGGTCAGAACGGACCTAGCAGCAAGTGAACTTATCACAAAGAATGAAGTCAATGTAAATGTCAAGGGAGTAGTTCGTGTTTGTTTTTTTTTAATCGCCGTTTTGAAAAGCCATAAAATTTCCCATTTTAATTATTAAGTGCATAATACAATAGTGTTAACTATAGTCACATTATTGTGCAACAGATCACTAGAAATTCTTCATATCGCAAACCTGGACCTCTACACCCACTGAACAAGTACCCCTTTCCTCCTCTCCCCACCCCGCATCCCCAGTCCCTAGTAACTATTGCTTTGCTTTCTGTTTTGAAGAGATGGAGCAGAGATGTTTAGAGTTGACAGATAATTGGATCAGCCACCATAAGATATCTTTAATCGGGTATGTGAGTGAACACCAAACAACTAGGAAAAGCGGGAACTCAGCTTGACTCACTTCTCTCAATTCTCTGGACCACGGAAACAGCCCATCAGCCTTTTTCCAGTCACGTGAGCCTCTGAGGCTCTAGCATCTCGTTGGCAACAGCTCCCGCGAAGTGTGGGAAGAGCAAGAGGAGGGACCAATAGCGATGGGCCAATTAGGAAGCAGAGGCCCCTGCCCCTGCGCTTGCGCAGTACTCTCTGGCCCGCTCCAGGAAGAGCTGTGTTCCTGGGTGCAGGTGCTAGGTAATACGTGTGGCAACTTGCCTGGCCACACAACACACCAGGGAGCTAGACGCAGCCCACTTGCTCTCGGAACCCTATAGAAAGTAGCGGACAAGCCGGAAAGAGCCCCAGACCACTTCCGAATACCAGGTGCCTCCAAAGGCCAAGCTCACAGTGGCCCACCCAGCAAGTAGGGCCTCAGGAGGGGTTCACAAGTGGCAGAAAGCCTGTTCTTGTGGGAGGTCGATCCTGGACAGACTGGGTGTTTCTTCCTGTGGACCTGAGCTGACTAGCTCCTGTCTTTCAGAGAGAAAGGGACAAGGCATCAGTCATGCAACAAGCAGCTCCCAGCAGCCTTCTCTTGGCCTGTAGCCTGGCCTTGGCACCTTTCCTCGCAGGTACGTGTATAGGATATGTCCCTAGTCAAATTCTCTCATCACCGCTTCCCCACCCACATTCCTGTATCCTTAGCTGAGTTATCCTCTGTATTCCTCTTTGCATTCTCTCATCAATGTGCTCATACCTGCATTCTCACCCTTGTCCTTCCATTCTTGTCTGTATTCTTGCAGACCTCAGTGACACTTTCCTTGTGGGTGCTATGCTCGGCATGGACATCTGCAGTGATTATACAGGCATCATTCCTGCCCTCATAGGTCTTACAATGTACCAACCAGTGTTGGGAACAGAGTCCTGAGTGTCAGTTCAAATCAACTCCAACTCCTTACTGCCTGGCCTCAGGCAAATAACTGAGCCCATCCACGGGGCTTCCCAGGTGGGGCTAATGGTAAAGAACTCGCATGCCAGTGCAGGAGACATGAGAGATACGGGTTTGATCCCTGTGTCGGAAAGATCCCCTGGAGAAGGGCATGGCAACACACTCCAGTGTTCTTGCCTGGAGAGTCCCAAGGACAGAGGAGCCTGGCGGGCTACAGGCCACAGGGTCACAAAGAGTCAGACACAACTGAAGTGACTTAGCCCTCACACACATGCCTCTAGTATGGGCTTCCTAAGTGACTCAGAATCCGCCAGCAATGCAGGATACATCCCTGCATTGATTTGATCCCTGTGGGAGGAGGGCATGGCAACCCACTCCAGTATTTCTTCCAGTTCAGGTATCATTGCCTTGGGCCCCAGAGGGCACAGGGAGACTTGAGGGCAACTTCAAGGGGAGAGGAGGAAGTAATACTGCCACACTTAACCTGGTGACCATCTTTCTTCAGACTTGCCCTTGTTTACTCTGCTGGTCAGAGCTTGTTTTGTGGTTATGATTTATAGTGAAGTTTGCTTGAGTATTCTCTACCATAAGCCTTTTTCCTGGTTTTATTAATATAGAATTAACATACATCACTGTACATCACTGTATAAGTTTAAGGTGTGCAGCATAATAGCTTGACTTACATTTATTGTGAAATACTTACTGAGTACGTTCAATTTTTCCCTTGTGATGAGAACTCAGGATTTACTCTCCTAACTTTCAGTGTTAACTATAAACATCATGTTGTATGATGTCCCTAGTACTTTTTTCCTTATCACTGAGAGTTTGTGCCTTTTGACCATGTTTTCCCAATGCCCCTTTCCATTACCTCTGGTAAACACAAAGCTAATTGCTTTCTCTATGAATTTGTTTTAGATTCTGCATATAAGTGAGATACATACATATCTTTCTCTGTCTGGCTTACTTTACATAGCATAATGTTCTCAAGGTCCATCTATGTTTCCACAAATGGCAGAATTTCCTTGGTTTTTATGGATGATATCTATATATATACACACACATATATATAAAGAGAGAGAGAGAGAGATCTCACAACTTCTTTATTCATTCATCTATTGATGGAAACTTAGGTTGCTTCCATTCTTGGCTATTAGGAATAATGTTGTTGTGAACATAGGGGTGCAGCTATCTTTTTTTTAGTGTTTTCATTTCCTTTGAATGTATTTCCAGAAGTAAAATTGCTGGACGAAATACAGAGGTACTGTAGTTAATTTTTTGAGGATCCTCCATACTGTTTTCCATTAGTGGCTATGCCAGTTTACAATTTCTTTTCTCCACATCCTCACCAGCATTTGTTATCTCTTGTCTTCTTTATGATGACCGTTCTGTCAGGTGTAAGGTGAAGTATTGTGGTTGTGATTTGCATTTCCCTAATGACTAAATATTGTGCATCATTTAAGTCCTGTTGGCAGTTTGTATATGTTCTTTGGAAAAAATGTCTATTCAGGAATTTTGCCTATGAATGTTTGGTTTTTCCAGGCCTTTTTTTAAGGGACAAAAAAAAACTTTAGGACGTCTTTTCTATTATTTCCCATTGTTTTTATTTACTTACATTTATTTGTTTTTAATTAGATAACTTTTGAGATAAATAATATATGCCCACAGCATAAAATGAAAAAGGTATAGGATGGAGACTGTATCTTCTCCTCTGTAGACCCCCAGTTCTGTTCTTTGGAGCTGTGGATAACCAGTTATCCCTTCATGTTTACCTTTCCAAAGATGGTTCATATATTTATAAACATATTCAAATGTACCATTTTCTTCCCATGGCAGCATTTTATACCTAGCATTCTACATCTTCCCTTAAAGGTACACCTTGGAGAGCTTTTCATATCAGTGCATGTTAGAACAACATATTCTGTATATATCCATTTCATGGACATCCCAGAATCCATGTAACCATGAGCATTTCAGTCACTTTTAATCATTTATTATTACAGGGACTACTTCAGTAAATGACTTGGTATAATTACACATGTAGGAAAATACCTAGGAATTGCTGGATCAAAGAGTTTGTGGGATCTAAATTTTTACTCTATATTTATCAAGTTGCCCTTTAAAGAAATTATACTAATTTACTCATTAGAAACAGATAATGCCTGTTGCTCAAACTCTCACCAACATGCTTTAGTTTCAATTTTCAAATTGTGTTCATCTTGCCATGAAAGACTCTAGAGCAGTGCTGTCCAATGGTATTTTCTGCGTCAGCAGTAGGTCTGTGTCTACACTGTTCAGGGCAGTGGTCACTAGCAACATCTGGTTATTGAGCATTTGAAATGAAACAGGTGAAGCCTAACTGTTAATTTTTAAAATTTTAACTCAATTTAAATAGACACCTTGGACAAAGTAGCTTCAATCAGAGTGGGGTGTAAAAGAGTTTGGAAAGAGAGAAAGGGGCATGAGACATATTGGTGAGAAACTATGAATTGGAAAACCTCTTTAATGACTTAAAATTTTTATAGTTTGTTTGATTTTTTAAATTAATTTTGTCTTTCTGTATGTGTTCCATCAAACAAGACTCTCTAGGGAAGGCAGGTTACCCTTAAAAACCTTAAATCTCAAGGTTTTACTTTGTTTGGTTTTTTGGGGTTTGTTTTGTTTTGTTTTGTTTGGAGTTTAGTTACTAGTAATGTAACAGTGTTGGTTTTTTTATTTTTTAATTGAAGTATAATTGACTTATAGCACTGTTAGTTCCAGGTATACAACAGAGTGATTTGATATTTCTAACACGTTACAAAATGACCATGATACATCTAGTTACCATATGTCACCGTGCAAAGTTACTACAATTTTATTGACTATATTTCCCATTCTATACACTTCATCTGTTTGACCAGTTTATTTTGTAACTGAAATTTTGTACTTCTTAATCTCCCTTATCTATTTCACTCATCCTCCTACACCCCTCGCCTCCAACCACTTGTTTGTTTTCTGAATTTATAAGTCTGTTTTGTTATGTTTGTTCATTTGTTTTTTAGAGTCTGCATGAGTTAAATCATATGCTATTTGTATTTCCCTTGATGAATTATTTAACTTAGCATAATATCAGAGAAGGCAATGGCAACCCACTCCAGTACTCTTGCCTGGAAAATCCCATGGACGGAGGAGCCTGGTAGGCTGCAGTCCATGAGGTCGCGAAGAGTCGGTCACGACTGAGCGACTTCACTTTCACTTTTCACTTTCCTGCATTGGAGAAGGAAATGGCAACCCACTCCAGTGTTCCTGCCTGGAGAATCCCGGAGACGGGGGAGCCTAGTGGGCTGCCATCTCTGGGGTCACACAGAATCGAACACGAATGACGCGACTTAGCAGCAGCAGCAGCAGCAGCATAATATACTCTAAATCCATCTATGTTGTTGAAAATGGCATTCTTTTCTACTGCTAATATCCCATTGTATGTATATATATATAAAACACATCTTTATCCATTCATCTATTGATATTTAGATTGCTTCCATATCTTGACTTTGTAAGTAATGCTGCAGTAACAGGGATGCATATATCTTTTCATATTAGTGTTTTTGTTTTCTTTGGAAATAGAAGTGAAATTTTTAGATTATTTAGTATCTCAAAGGATTTTAATCTGAATTCTGCTTCTTCCTCTTCATATGGTAGCATGTGACTCTCAGCCCCCAGAAGCCAACCCCCTAACCCCTGCTCTTGCCCAGGATGGAAGGCTTGCTGCTGTCATATTTGCAGCACCCAGGGCAGCATGGCTAAATATTTAAAAGGTACACATTAGGCCAAAAACAAAAAGGTGTAGATGGAATCTTTTGTTTTACTGGACAAATGTACCTTCAGAGTGACCTAAAATGCCTGGGATTTTCCTGCTCCTTGGGATCCCATGCCAGGGAATGCCAGCACTGAGAGATTCCTGCCCTGGTCTCCAGCCCACTTCCTCTCACCACCCCACCTTCCCCTTCACTGACACACCAGTTTTCAAGTCCAAGCTCCCCCATTCCACCTGCTCTGCAAACTGCTTGAGGTACTTGAGCAAGAAATTTCAGGATTGTTGATATCCAGGAAGGATGAGGGGAGGGTATGCAGATGCCAAGTGGGCATGTCCCCCCGGTGTCACTGTACTCTCCCTATGGGGCTTCGCAGAGCCAGAGAGGGGAGGTCCTGTTGGAGGGGGAAGCTAACTAATTTGAACTCACCTTTCAGTAGTCTGAGAAAAGTTTTGCTGATAAATACTGACTTTTACTCCCTTTTTTCAACTTGCTCTTACCTTCCACAGGTTTCTGCTTCTTCATCCATCGTTTCTTCTATTCCCTGCTCTGCTGCACATCTTTCACTGGGGCAGCCAGGTCTAGTCTTTGTTCTTAACAGTAGCTGGTAGTGGGGACACTTGGATAGAGGTACAGAGGCTGGTCAGTGACTTCAGTTCACTAGGATGTTATCAAGCCCCAAAGGCAGAGAATGCAGGGGTTAAGGCTCCCTCTTGTCGGCCCCTTCTTTGAACATCCCATACCCTTTATTTGTAAGACTTAGTTATTCTGTACAGGTATTTGGAAGAAGATCTCTTTTAGGACTCCATTCAAAAAAGTTTCTCTTTCAGTGAGAACTTCCCGAACCTTACTATAAATTGCAACCACACCCTGCCCTTCCTGTCCTGTTTTGTCTTCTCACTAGTATTTATCATCACTTGACATACTGTGTCATTTCTGTCTGCCTTCTCCATCAGAATGTAAGCTCCATAAAGGTAGGAATTTTTGTGGTAATTCCAGTGTCAAATGTCACACACAAAATGCTGGGGTAAGGTATTGGGGAGGGTGAATGGGGCAGATCTAACTCTAATTCTGCTCCATGAGCATGGCTTCATTTGCCTGCCAGTGGTAAATAGCCAGCCAGTTTTCTTCCTTTTATTTTTGTATACAGTCTCCTGGGAGATTAAAATAAATGACCTCAATGAGAAGGATGTTAATAAATTCCAGTCCAATGGCTATAAGTGTCCAACATGCTTTGCTGTGATGGGAAGAAAGTGTCACACTGATCTCAAGTGGTGCCGAGCAGATAGACTGCAGTGTGTTGAATTTTCTGGCATCATAAACACAGGTACGTTTCTAGGTACTTTTCCTCCTGGAGAAGGCAATGGCAACCCACTCCAGTACTCTTGCCTGGAAAATCCCATGGACAGAGGAGCCTGATAGGCTGCAGTCCATGGGGTCGCAAAGAGTCGGACACGACTGAGGGACTTCACTTTCACTTTCTAGGATGCAATGTAGACACAACAGGTAGCACCTAAAGTAGCAGTCTCTCACAAGCTTATGGGGCATAGGCCTTAAGGGTGGGGTTGAGGAGAAATAAGCTTTTGTTCAAATCTCTTAGAAATAAGGATACCCAGAGTGGCTTGATTCTGAATATATGTCTAATTAGTTTTCTCACATTCATTTGTTCATATATGAATTTTTGCATGCTCTTATTAACAGACTTTCTGATATCTTTGAGGAAGTTATTTCAGCATATTGGGTGACCTTTCAGCCTCTGCAAACTTTGGTTAGTTTTTTGAAACACAGGGGTAGTTTGTGTTACCTCTAACCCTGTTTTTTTGTTTTTTTGTGTGTTTTTTTAACTTTGAAAGTAAAAACTTTGGAGAAAGACAGTGACTAAACTTAAACTTTCCTCAAAGATATCATAAAGCATAATTTACTGTGCTTAATTTGAGAAGATCCTACATAAAATTCTAAATCAACTGAAGACACAAATTAGAAATTCATTATGAATAGTAGCATAGTGTGGGTCTTCCCCAGTGGCCCAGCGGTAAAGAGTCCGCCTGCAGTGCAAGAGGTGCAGGAGGCATGGGTTCAATCACTGGGTCACGAAGATCCCCTGGAGGAGGGCATGACAACCCACTCCAGTATTCTTGCCTGGAGAATCCCATGGACAGAGGAGCCTGGCGTGCTACAGCCCATAGGGTCACAAAGAGTCAGACACAACTGAAGCAACTTAGCACACATGCACACAATATAGTATAGTGTGAAGAGCAGTGGGCAGAGTACCATGAGGATTGGGTTGTTTTCATAGCTCTTCTTCTTCCTCCCGCTAATTCTGGGGAGCTCAGCCTTCTTGAATTCTTCATTAATGAGATAAGCACAGGGGCTAGTCATTTTGGTTGGTCTCTGAGATTCTTACATTTCTACTTTCTATAATTTGCATAACAGTGATTCTTTGCTTTAACATACTAGTCACTGGAAATGGCACCCAGAGGAGGTGAGATGAAATCACCAACAGCTGCATGTGAAAGGATGTATCTGAAGGCACTTTGAAAGGCAGGGAATACAATCAAAGTGATAGCCTTTTTATGGCTGATATTGATATTTTTAAAAAGATGAATAGGAGATTGGATTTATGTCCTTAAAATCAGAAAGGGTTTATACCTAACCAAAACACAGAAACATCAAATCCTTATAGATCAGCAGCATTCAAGATGCTACTAACAGAGTCATTTGAGGACCAATAAAAGGAAGAGATTCTTATTATTATCTGCATGCTGCTGCTGCCAAGTCACTCCAGTCGTGTCCGACTCTGTACGACCCCATAGACGGCAGCCCACCAGACTCTACCGTCCCTGGGATTCTCCAGGCAGGAACACTGGAGTGGGTTGCCATTTCCTTCTCCAATGCAGGAAAGTGAAAAGTGAAAGTGAGGTCACTCAGTTGTGTCCAACTCTTCACGACCCCATGGACCGCAGCCTACCAGGCTCCTCCGTCCATGGAATTTTCCAGGCAAGAGTACTGGAGTGGGTTGCCATTGCCTTCTCCGATTATCTGCATAAAATGTCTAAAACATAAAATGTCATAAAAACACAATGCTAGATCCCCAAGTGATAATAGGAATTGGAAAAAGCTTATTTAAAGAACGTTCATAAAGTTCCATGAGGGTTCCAATATTTGATTGAGATGGGCTGTGAGGGGATTTGAGGATTTGAAGGCCCTGTGTTTGGAGAATACCAACCCTGTTAAGAGAGAATCATATTTAATGACTCACACTCAAATTGTGTGGCCTGGTTTCTATTTTACTCCAGCCCAGTTTGGGGTGGTAAAAAAGGAATGATAAAGAAGGATGAAAGTGGAAGTAACATTTTTGGTTTCTTGCAGGTCTTAAAGACATGCCTATTGAAGTGAAAAGATGCATACAAGCAGATCTGTGCGAAGAGACAATAACTTATATGGGTTTTCCAATTGCTAACCAGAGTAAAAATTGCAGACCAGCCATTAACAGTGGGACCAGGATAAGACTCCCACCTCCCGTCATCTTTGTTCTCTTCCTGGAGAAGCTGCTTTATTGAGCTCCTGCAACAGCCCAGCCATCTCCATTTATGAATTAAACAGTTATTTTTTTGGTTTATGAATTCTTTCATGTCTATTAAATTTTCCCTAGGTGTGTTCAGTTGTCAATTTATTTACGATTCAGCAAGGTTTATTTGTGTATCCACCCTCACACAATCAGTGTTGGCTCCCTTCTTTTAAGAAGACACCAGGGCATTTTGAGAATAAGGATATGCACACGTTAAATGTTTAAAAAGCAATGCAAAAAGCAAGAATGAGAGTGGTACCCCTGCTCAGGTAGCCAAAGCTGATGGTTCTAGACACAAGGTAGACAGAAGTTGGAGAGCATGAATTTGATTAGGGAAAGACTGAGAATTTACATGAACTTTGAGGAGATCTGTACTGTTTGGCCCCAGGGATAGTGTGCATTAGGACACAGAGATGGGAAAGCGGGCAGAGGCTGCAGCACAGCAGCTAAGACTAATAGTAGGGAAAGTGACCTAGGTCTAGCACTATGTTTGCTAGACCTGGCATTTGCTCGGTACATAAGGTTCAAAGTTTCCTTTCCTTTTTTTATTTATTTTATATTTTGCAATTTTTTTTTCCATAATATTGATTTTAAAACAACAAAAAAACAAAAAAAATAGTAAAATATAAAAACAAATTTATGTTTTATAGACCATGGGAAAAAGAATTTTCAGCAAAGTACAAAAATTTAAAGCATTCCTTTCTTTAATTTTGTAATTCTTTACTGTGGAATAGCTCAGAATGTTACTTCTGTTTTAAATAACAGAATTGATAACTGAGCAAGGAAACGTAATTTGGATTATAAAATTCTTGCTTTAATAAAAATTCCTTAAACAGTGAAAAAAAACAAACAACAAAAAAAAATAGTAGGGAAAGTGGAAGAAGAAAGTGTCAGTAAATATATGGGCCTGTCTAGAAGCCTCTATCTGTGCCTGATGGGAATTGCCACCAATTGGTGAACACAGTGACCTGAGCACAGGCCCCCTCCCTGCAGGTTGGAAAACAGTTCCCCTCGGTCAGCTAGAGATACCATCTCAAGACAGACCTCTCTGTGGTTCTTGCTCCTGACTGCTCTTAGGATCACCTGGCAGTTTCAAGTTACAGTACTCACTTGGGCCATCATTTGGAAACTTTTTTTCCTAGTCATTAGGTTGTCTTTTTGTTTTGTTTATGGTGTCCTTTGCTATGCAAAAGCTTGTAAGTTTGACTAGGTCCCACATGTTTATTTTTGCTTTTGTCTATTTATTTATTTTTGCCTTGGGAGATTAACCTGAGAAAACAAACAAGAGGCAGATGTTTTTCTTATTGGTTTATTTTACTGGAAGTGTTTTTGCTCAAGTTTTCTAAAGCAGCCTCTATGACAAGTGTTACAACTCTAATAAAAATAAATTTTAAAATACTTTAAAAATTGTTTAAAAAATTAAGGATAAAATAAAAATTAATTTAAGAAATAAAATAGTAAATAAGAAAAGGAAAAAAGAAAATACCATAGAAGAAAAAAAGGGCCACAGATAGATTTAAAAGTCATTGAGTGTGCAGTGTTGCAAATGATCATCAGTTTATGGAGCCATTAAATAGAATATAGTGAATTTAATAATCTTGTGTTGTTTGCCAGGGCTTGTTAAATGAATCATAGAAGAATTTTACAATTATCGTCATTTGCTCCAATTCAAGATTTCCTTGGAAAAAAAGGAATACTTACCAAGTCTTTAATAATTAAGGACCAGGAAGGTAATTTACACTTTCCCATTGATATTACACTGCACAAGCATGAGATAATTTTTTTTATTGAAGTATAGATTTACAAGTGACTCAGTTACATACATTCTTTTTCATATTTTTTCTGTTATGGTTTATCACAGAATATTGAATATAGTTCCCTATGCTATATAGTAGGACCTTGTTGTTTATCCATTCTATATATAACAGTTTCTATCTGCCACCCCAAACTCCCACTCCATCCCTTCTGCACCCCCTTGACAACTGCAAGTCTATACTCTGTCTGTGTGTCTGTTTCATAGATAAGTTCATGTGTTATATTTTAGATTCCACATAAACATGATGTCATATGGTGTTTGCTTTTCTCTTTCTGACTTACCTAGCTTACTATAATAATCTCTAGTTCCAGCCATGTTGCTGCAAATGGCATTATTTCATCCTGTTTTATGAGTAATATCCCACTGTATACATGTACCACATCTTTAGGCTTCCCAGCTGGCTCAGCAGTAAAGAATCTGCCTGCATCGCAGGAGCCGCAGGAGATGCAGGTTCAATCCCTGGGTCAGGAAGATCCCCTGGAGGAGGACATGACAACCCAGTCCAGTATTCTTGCCTGGAGAATCCCATGGACAGAGGAGCCTCATAGGCTACAGTCCATAGGGTTTCAAAGAGTCGGACTTGACTGAAGTGACTTAGCAAGCACACACCACACCTTTATCCATTCATCTGTTGATGGACATGTAGGTTGTTTCCATGGTTTGGCTATTGTGAATAGTGCTGCTATAAACAGAGGAGTGAATGTATGTATTTGAATTGTAGTTTTGTCTAGATGTATACCCAGGAGTGGGATTGCTGGATCATATGGCAACTCTATTTTTAGTTTTCTGAGGAAACTCCATACGGCTTTTCATAGTGGCTGCATAACTTACATTCTTACTAACAATATAGGAGAGCTCCCTTTTCTCCATATCCTTTCCAGAATTTGTCATTCATAGACTTTAATTATGGCCATTCTGACCAATGTGAGTTTTGTTTTGTTTTGTTTTATTGCTCTTTATTAAAATACAAATTTTTTTTCTAAAAGATTCCTTTTTACTTTATTTTTTTCCCAATTATTTTTATTAGTTGGAGGCTAATTACTTTACAATATTGTAGTGGTTTTTGCCATACATTGACANTTGATTTGCATTTCTCTAATAATTAACAATATTGAACACCTTCTCATGTCTCTGGTGGTCATCTATGTCTTCTTTGGAGAAATATCTGTTTAGTTCTTCCCATTTTTTCATTGGATTGTTTAATTTTTTTGTTGTTCAATTATATGAGCTATTTGTAAATTAAGCCCTTGTCAGTCATATCATTTGTAAGTATTTTCTCCTGGTCTGCAGGTTGTCTTTTTTGTTGTTGTTGTTATGGGCAGAGAATGTTTTTCCTATGTTCTCTTCTAGGAGTTTTATGGTATCATGTCTTATTTTTAAGTCTTTGAACCATTTTTAGTTTATTCTTGTGTGTGGTGTGACGATGTGTTATAACTTCATTGAGGCTGTCAAACTTCCCCAACAGCACTTGCTGAAGAGAGTTTCCCATTGCCCCCCTTTGTCAAAGGTAAATTGATCAGAGGTGTGGGTTTATTTCTGAACTCTCCATTCTGTTCCATTGATCCATCTGTTTTTGTGCCAGTACCACAACTGTTTTGATTACTATAGCTTGGTAGTATTGTCTGATGTCTGGGAGGGTAATGCCTCCTACTTTGTTCTTTTTTCTCAGAATTGCTGCAATTCTGAATTTTATGGTTCCATGTAAATTTTAGGATTATTTGTTCTAGTTCTGTGAAAAATGTCATCGGTCATTTGCTAGGAATTGCATTAAACTTGTAGATTGCTTTGGGTAGTATGGCTATTTTAAACAGTATTAATTCTTCCAATCCAAGAGCGTGGAATGTCTTCCATTTCTTTGAATCACCTTCAGTTTCTTTTATTAATGTTTTATAGTTCTAAACATGTAAGTCTTTTATATCCTTAGTCAGGTTTATTCCTAAGCATTTCTTTTTGAAACATAATTTTACGTTCCCTTTCTGATATTTCCTTGTTAGTGTAAACAAATGCAGATTTCTGTGTTGATCTTGTATCCTACTACCTTGTTGAATTTGTTTATCAATTCTAGTAGTTTTTGTGTAGAGTCTTCAGAGTTTCTATATGTAGGATCATGGCATCAGTATATAATGACAATTTTACCTCTTCCCTTCCAATTTGGATACCTTTACTTATTTTTCTTATCTGATCACTTCCAATGCCATGTTGAATATAAGTGTTGTGAGTGAGATTTTAGTAAGAATATTGATCCATATTTTGCCTTGATCCAGATTTTAGTAAGAAGTGTTCAGCTTTTCACCACTGAGTATTATATTGGCTATAGGTTTGTCATAAGTAGCTTTTATTATGCTCACATATGTTCCCTCTATACTCACTTTTATGAGAGTTTTTATAATTAATGGATATTGAATTTTATAAAAAGCTTTTTCTGAATCTATTGAGATGATCACGTAACTTTTGTCTTTTCTTTTGATGATGTGTTGTATCACATTGATTGATTTGTGTACATTGAACCATCCTTGTAAACTTGGGATGTATCAAACTTGGTTGTGATATATGATCTTTTTTATGTGTTGCCATTTGCGTTTGCTAATATTTTGTTGAGAATATATATTCAAAGATATTAGCCTGTAATTTTCTTTCTTCGTGGTATGTTTTTCTGGTTTTAGTATCAGGGTGATGGTGGCTTCATAGAATGTCTTTGGAAGTGTTCACACCTCTTCAGTCTTTTGGAAGAGCTTGAGAAGGATGAGTACAAGTTCTTTGTATGCATGAGCTAAATTTTAATCTCCAATAAAAACAAAAGCTAATTTGTGATATTTCTAGATAGACATGAGATTTTATGTTGAAAATGAAATCTTTCATAGAACAAACCCATAATGATTTTACATACTTTTAACATGAGTCAACATACCGAAGATTTTAATTGTAATCAACAGTGCTATGTAAAATCTGTAAAAACGTTATCCCCTTTATTGTCCAATACCTGTTCCCCTCAAAATTCAGGACTATCAAAGAAAAGGAGGGATTGAAACTAAGAAGGACTCTGTGGGGCCCTCCTGGGTATGAAAGCCTTTCTGTGTTTGCCTTTTCTTGTTTGTAGGAAAAACTTTAGCCTCCGAGACCTTCCAAGTTCCAAAAAACAGATTCAGTTACTAATTAGGGAAGAGAGGGAAAACAGAAGCCAAGGAGGACCAATCAAGAAACAATAGTGCAATAATAAAGCAGGGTCTTGTTTCTT